CCAGGGTCATGGGGCCCTTTCACAGCCACTTGTCTTTCTTCCGGCATGCAGGGTGCTGAGCTCCTGTACAGGGTGCTGAGCTCCCAGGACAGCCCCCACTGGGCCCCCTCCTGCAAGAGCCCTTCATTTCAGAGGCTGTAACTGAGCTGAGCTGCTCCGGCGCTTGCCGGAGGGAGCAGCAGCGAGCACGAAGAGGGTCTCCCTTCCCCAGCTCTATTAGCACTCGGAAACTTTCCAAAACAGCTATTCCGGACTAATTATTCCATTCTGGAAGTGGATTAAGCTAAAGCGGAAAAAGGCACTCTTATTCTGGAATATGAGCATCCGCACAGGGGCCTCTGCTCAAGCAGTTGTTTTGGAAGAGCTATTTTGGTGAATCACCAAGTCTACAAAGCCCCCAGACGACCTTTCCTCTTTGGGCATCGCTGCCCAACGTCTTCCCAAATGCACGTGGCACAGCAAGCCCACATCCCTTCGGGTTTATCCCTCCCAGAGCCATAACCTGCGGGAAGATTGGGCACTGCTTGTTTCGGAGGGAAAAAGGGGTTGGAAGAGGGTCCCCTATCCCTGTACCCCACATTGCAGGCAGCCCCTACCTGGCAGGCACGTGCAGTCGTAGGTGGTGTCCCCGATCTGGCGGCACGTGCCCCCGTTCTGGCAGGGCGAGGGGTTGCAGGGCACGTAGAGGTGCTCGCAGTTCTGCCCGGTGAACGCCGGCTTGCAGGAGCACTGGTACGTGCCCACCTCGTTGGTGCAGCTCCCGCCGTTCTTGCAGATGGGGGGAGAGATGTTGCAGTGTGTGGCCCCGGGGAGGCCGGTTGTGCACCGGCAGATGTAGTGGGCTTCGAAGGGGACGCACTGGCCCCCGTTGGCGCAGGGGTTGGAGGCGCAGGGGTCAGCCTGCTGGCAGGTTTTGCCTGGGGAGGGCAGGGAGGGAGGATGAGGATGAGGATGCAAACTGCAGCTCAGGCTCTTGGCGCGTAGCGATCTTTGCGATGGGT